CACCTGGAGGCGTGCCGCGGCGTTGCGGAGTGCCCTTTGCGCTGCAGGCGGCGCGCACGCCGCGGTCGTTCGCTTGTGCGGCGTAGCGCGGGGGCCCAGAACACAGGCGCAGGACAGAAGAGTAGTGCAACGTCCGGATACGACTATATACGGTACTAAAACGGTCACGAGAGTGCGTAGGCGGAGCGCGTGCGCTCAGAAGTTGAACTCGCCGCGGAACTGCTGCAGATCCATGTTGGGCACGACCCTCTCCAGGAGGTCGCGGCGATCCATAGCGATGAAGGCGCGCTTCAGGGTCTCGAGGATGTTCGAGGATGGCACGTGGCCGCTGCCCGGGGCCATCACGACGCCCTCGACCTCGTGCATGGAGAGCGCCGTGAGTAGGTGCTCTGCGGCCTCGCGGTAGCAGCCGATGTTCATAGATGAGACGGCGAGGTTGTAGCGGGCGCGGACAAAGGTGGGCTTGAGCTGTATGGCACGGTGGTAGGCCTGGATGGCCTCCTCGGAGCGGTTGGAGTTGGCGAGCGACGCGCCCAGGCGGTTCCACATGCATTCGTCGTCCGGGCGGACAGCAAGCGCGGCTCTGAAGCAGTCGATGGTCTTGTCAAACTCCTCGTTCGCGTAGAAGAGGATGCCCAGGCCAAGCTGGACGTCCGGGTCGACCTCCGGCAGCGCGTTCGCAACGCGCAGATACTGCTCGATTATCAGGCGGCTGAGGTTGTAGCGGTCGACGCGGTCGTGGGGCTCCTCGACGAAGGCGGGGTACTTCGTTTCCAGCCACCGGCCGAGCATGGTGAACGCGCTCACGTCGTAGCCCTCGTTGATGTAGCTGATGGCCACGGTCATCAGCGCCATCAGGTTGTTCGGGTCGGCCTTGAGGCACTGCTCGAGCGCGTTGATGCCGCTGAGCTCCTTCTCGTTCTGCGTCTGGACGAGCCCCAGACGCAGCCACGCGTCCACGTGGCGCGGGTCTTGCTGCACCGCAGCTTCGAACGCGAGCGCAGCCTCGCTCAGCTTCGCGCCGTTCTCCATGAGGATGCACCCTATCTTGTACGCGTCCGTGTTATGCAGGTATTGGTTGTCGGTCTCGAAGGTGTACTGGGCCGTCTGGGTCGGACGCCCGGAGAACACGCGCTGGTACTCGTTCTCCGCGCCGGTATTCAGCTCCGTTCGACTATCCAGGTCGTCCGTCTGCTCGTGTATGTCGTTCCATATCTGCTGGAAGCGCTTCTCGTAGTCGCCGCCGGCGTAGTCCTCCCCACTCACCTCCGCGCTCAGCTCCTCCAGCGCTTGTACCTGCTCCACCGGGTCCGCGATGTTCAGCGTGGTCTCCACCTGTTTCTCCAGCTCCTGGAACTGCTGCTCCCAAGCCGCGTCGTTGATCGCCGGCCCCGCGTGCCGCTCCACGCCCACCGCCCGCGGGCCCTGCATCCCCAGCACTGGCCGCATCATGTTCAAGGGCCGGTACGCGCCCGTCCGCCCCACTGGCGACGACGCAGAGTTCATCGACACCGACGACACCGCCGGGCTCGACTGCACCGGACTCCCCACCTGCTGGCTGAACTCCTGCGACCAGTTCCCCGCCATCGCCCCGCCCAGCCGCGCCCCGAGCTCCTTCTGCGGCCCAGGCGACATCCGCATCGCCGAGCTCCCGCTCAGCGCCAGCGGCCCGGAGCTCATCCCCGCCCCCATAAACATGTTTCCGCCGCTGCCCGCCTTCCCGGACATAAACTGCTCCATCTGGAACTTATTCGACTCGCTGATCTGCGTCCCGCTCTTGAACGCCTGCGCCTCGGCGCCCTGGTGTATATTCACGTGCGATCCATGTTGCAGCGTTCTGTCCTGCTGCACCCGTTTGTTTAGCTGCGCTAGCGGGTTAGCGCCCACAGAGCAATCTGCACTCATAGCCAACTTCGCTAGATAGATATTGCAGTCTTTGACAACAGCCACTAAGCTCTATTGCGCTGTAGAAATGTGGTTGTTACTGACTAAACATGCGCATTAGCCCTTCGGCTTTTATGTAACCCAATTTCGGCTTTTGCCGTATTTTCCCAATTTCCACTCCACCTCGAATACCCCACCAGTTTGGATCACCTTTCGCCGTGAGGCCCTATCATCTGTTCGATACTGTTTGTCAGCTGAGTAGGCCTCATATCGTGCGGGAAAATGCGGCCTTTGGACATAAATGAGCTTCTACGGAAGACGGACGATGAGGGCATCGAGGATGATGTGCGCAAGCCTGTGTTCCTGGACGGCGAGAAGCGGCAGCGGCTACTGCGAAGGCGTGAAGTGAGCAATCGGATCAGCAAGGGCAGCCGGAGCGGCGGGACAGTCAGCGGAAGGGCGGTGGAAGCCGGGGCGGAGCAGGCGGCGGGCAGGCCGGAGGAGACACGGCGCAGGCGGGGTAAGTTCAACTTCGACTGGGCGATGGAGGAAGATACGGCGGAAGCGGAGGGCGCGGGCAGCGGGGAGGACGCGCGGCGGCTGCTGGGGCGGCGGCGGCGGGACGCGGTGGAGAAAAGCTACATGCGGCGGCACTGGAGCGAGCTGGCGCTGCACGAGATGACGGCGCGGGACTGGCGGATCATGCGCGAGGACTACAACATCACGACGAAGGGCGGCGGGGTGCGACCGCCGTTGCGCAGCTGGGGCGAGTCGGGGGAGATTCCGGCGGCGCTGGTGCGCATCGTGGAGGAGCGGCTCGGGTTTGGCGAGCCGTCGCCGATACAGCGGGTGACGATCCCGAACGCGCTGCATGGGCGCGACTACGTGGGTGTTGCGGCTACAGGTTCCGGGAAGACGTTGGCGTTTCTGCTGCCGATCTTCGTGAAGCTGGGGCGGCTTGCGCCGCTGAACGCGGTGACGCAGCTGGACGGGCCGCGCGCTCTTGTGCTGGCGCCGACGCGGGAGCTGGCGCAGCAGATCGAGGCAGAAGCGCGGATGTTTCTCTCGCACTGGCAGCGCCACTGCCCGGTGGCGAGCATTGTGGGGGGTCACTCGTTTGAGGAGATCGCGTTCAGCCTGCAGGGCGGCTGCGAGGTGCTGGTCGCGACGCCCGGGCGGCTGATCGACTGCCTGGAGCACCACATGCTGGTGCTGCGACAGGTCTCGACGCTGGTGCTGGACGAGGCGGACAGAATGGTGGACATGGGGTTTGAAGAGCAGCTGACCGACGTGCTGTCGCGTATCGACATGCTGGCGGAGCGGCAGGTCATGATGTTCACGGCGACGATGACGCACACCATAGAGAAGATCGCGAACGGCTACCTCAAGAGCGCTGTCTACGCCACTGTTGGGGGGGCCGACGCGGAGCCGCAGATCCAGCAGCTCGTCGAGTATGTTCCCGCGGAGGAAAAGCGCTTTGCGAAGCTGGTCAAGGAGGTGCTGCCGAATTTCGCGCCGCCGATTATCATCTTTATCAACTACAAAGCAACAGCCAATTGGCTCTCTGAGAAATTTGAAAAGGAAACCAGGTTCCGCACTACGGTTCTGCATGGGTCTAGGTCGCAGGAGCAGCGTGAGCACTCGCTGCGCCAGCTGCGCAGCGGCAAGGTCGACATCATGATTGCCACCAATGTAGCGGGCAGGGGTATCGACGTGCCGAATGTGTCGCTCGTCGTGAATTTTCAGATGCCGTTCCAGCTTGAGGACTACGTCCACCGGATAGGAAGGACAGGCCGGGCGGGCCAAAGTGGCACTGCCATTACCTTCTTGACGGATAAGGACGAAAATGCGCTTGTGGAAAAGCTGTACGAGTACGTGAAGAAGAATAATATTACGGGTAAAAATTACATATCCGCAGACGTCAAGAAGCAGTTCAGTTTAGGCATGAATAATTTCAAGGCGCTGCTGGATTAAACGATAAGGTAAACATGTAATGCGTGCTTTCTTGTTTTTATCTTTTTATCACCGTTAGCGGTTAGTCCTCGTCTGAGGAAGAATATGCTACGAGGGCCGCCGCTGGTTTCTCCGAGGCCGGCGCGGATGCAAGTTTCCTTCTCTTCAATTTCTGGAGGACTTCATCCGACAGTATCTTGCCTCGCTGCGCGTTCTTGTCTTCATCAGCATCCTCCAGGGCATGCTTGGCGTTGGTATCTTGTCGTTCTAGTAGCTGCAGCATCGCCTTGAGGGACTCACGCTTTGCCTCTTCTTCCTCCAGCTTCCGCGCGGTAGGATTAGGATCGTCATTTGCCCATTTGACCAGCAGGCCCGAACCTTCTTTGCGCTGGTCCCACTCCTTGTCACTGGGGATAAGTAGAGTCTGATTGCTCATGCACTCCTTGGCAAACTCGGCGCTGGTTTGATGCTTGAACTTGACAAACGCACAGTTCTTGCTTTCTATGTAGCGGATGCGATCTATCTGGCCTAGCTTACCAAATACAAAGCGTATCCTGCTCTCGACCTGCGCTGGCTTTAGCGTTTTGTTGTTCAGGGCGCCCAGCAGCCCTCCCACATACAAAGTCCGGTTCTTCTTGCGGAAAGAGCCTACTCCACCCATATCCTCTCTATACTGGGCAAACTTCTCTCGCCCAAAACAATCTAGAACCTCCGACTTCATAACAAGGCGCGCCACGTCTTCTTCATCCGGCACATGGTGCAAGTATTCGCACTTCTTCCCCATGCAGCACATACCCTTGCTGAAATAGATACAGAAATAGAGCTGGCCTTGTTTATCGCCTCGAGTTCTCCCAGCGTGGATTTCAGGTTCTAGCTTATATGGATTGACAAACCGAGCATCGCCGCTGTAACCTTGAGACCATTTATTGTACCAGATGTTAAATGTGAGGCCTGTCTGCGGCGGAAGGGATGAGGGCAAATCAGCTTCCCGTACTTGTAACGGAGCAGGTCGTGTTTTCCATCCATCAGATGCGTCGGCAACCATTGGTCTCCTATAACTATACCTACGACGCCTATCTCTTGTTTAGGTTAGTATCATTCAACTTAGACATTGGCGATGCGCTCATATATGGGCTCATCTCTAAAAAAAAAATCAAAAAAATCTCCCGGGGGTGAGTCGAACACCCGATCTCCAGATTACAAATCCATTACAGTCTGGCGCCTTAAACCAACTTGGCTACCGGGAGGGTTTTTTTGATGTTTCACGAAGACCATCTGTCACATTATAAACATCATAGTAAGCTCAGTACGTGAACAAATACGAATTCGGGGTTACGAATCGCTTCGCTTACACCTGCACACCACGGAATGTGGTACGTCGCAAGTCGTGGTATGCCGTTAATACGGCGATGGCCTCGCGTTATCGTGATCTCCACGTTTATTGCGATCCCAAGTGGTTGCAGTACTACCCCACTGCTGTTCGTCGGTCATATCGCATCGTGGTCTTGGTGCCAACCGATGGTACCCGTGTCTTCTTACGCGTTGTTTGAAGGATCTACTTCAGACAATAACTATTCGCTAGAAGATATGAGTTATTAATTATAAGTAAACTATCTATTAGTAGATATAATAATGTAATGTTTTTATTCACATTTATTAGTTGCATCTACATTTTACATTACATTTTACATTTTACATTACATTTTACGTTTTACATTCACTAAATACTAATACATTATATAATTTTAATCCTTATAATCCTTATTACGTCCATTGGAGCAAGAGTGCCTCAGAACAAGATACTCTAGGTGGTAGCTAGCCAGAATCAAGTTACATTCACTTACCTGAAAACATAATGGACTCTGTAACTCAGTAGTTATATCATAAGCCTAATTCATCGAATGCTGTGAGGCGATGCTTAAATCGTGAATATTTTAAACTAATTAAATGATATAATGAGCACTATAGGTGGCGGTTCTAGAGCTCGCAAATCTCTCCGAGGGGAAAAACTCGACATGCAGTAGCGCGCAGGACTATTCTAGTGAGCCGGAGTCGATAACCGGAATCTCTCTTACCATCGGCTGTCACGTGATATTACAGTATACTTCAATACACCCATACACCTCACTGATCCAGTTTCCCGCGCCGGCGCGCGGCACGCAGCTGATGTACGCTTATAACAGGTATGTAGGCGGATGGTGCCGCAAGGGCGCGAGCACAGGCCTGCGCGACCGGCGTGGCGAGGCTCAGTGCTGTTCCAGCATTGAGCCCATCATGTGACTGCACGGATAGAGACCGTGGATATGTATGTAATTGACCGATGACTATGGATGAGGCGCCCGCGTTCACAGGACTAGGCACTTCTTCTTCTTCTTGTCACCGTGGGCCTTCTTCTTGGTTGCAGACGCGGTGGGTTTGCCTGAGAGCGCAGCACGGGTCGCGGTGTCGAAGACCTCCTTCACGCCCTGGCCTGTGCGGGCAGAACACTCGAGGTAGGCGACGGCGCCTATCTTACCGGCGACGGCTGAGCCCTCTGCGGCGGTCACAGGGCGCTGGCCCTCGGCCTGCAGCTGCTGCAGCACCTGTGGGTCGTTTCTCAGGTCAATCTTGCAACCCACCAGCAGAATTGGCACGCCCTGACAGAAGTGCAGCACTTCGCTGACCCACTTCTCCTGCACGTTGTCCAGCGAGTCTGGTAGGTCTACTGAGAAGCAGATGAGCACCACATTGGAATCCGGGTACGACAATGGCCGCAGCCGGTCATAGTCCTCTTGGCCCGCTGTATCCCACAGAGCCAGCTCTACGCGCCGCCCGTCGATATCCACGTCTGCGACGTAGTTCTCGAACACCGTGGGCACATGGATCTCCGGGAACTGCCCTTTGGAGAATACCACGAGCAGACACGTTTTTCCACACGCTCCGTCGCCGACAATCACCAGCTTCTTGCGTATGTTGCCGCCTGTCTGGTATGCCATATTTCTGAAACTGTCACTTCCTAGCCTGCTACTGTCCGAGTATAAGCAGAACCTGCGCTCTTCTGCGAGATCTGCCCCGCGGTGTCAGATCCTCTTGCTAGCGTGGGCTTCCTATTGCACCGACGCTAGAAACGAAGCAAATTGGACGCTGCTTGAGCTATGGAAACGCACTTGCAACTGTCCTTGAGATCTGGCAATGGCTGTGACCAGCTGAGAGCTCCTCAAAAGGTTAAAAATCTGAAAACTCACCGCAAATGAGCCACGCAGAGCCTCGAGAATCTTCAACGTTTCAGAGTTCGAGAGTGCAATTCCATCACCTCACACGGCCGAGGCAGGTGGCTTCTGCCAGGCCAATAGGCTAGCAGGTAGCTTGTGAACGATTAGAGCGACTCCTTCATGGCCCAGGATGGTAGCTGATATCCCAGATGCCGATGTCATTGGTGGGATGCTGCGGGGCCGAAGCGAGACGCAGAGGGCTGGCTGGAACAGGCGATGTGCCGCAAGAACCCGATGAGCTAGCCTCGATAGTAAGAGGTGAGATAGTGCCATCAGAATGTAGCAAGTAAACCTGGAAATCTGAAATGAGATGGATTGATGTGACAGTTTTATGCAACGGAAGGCGTGCGGCTGGCAGTAGGCGGGATGGATCTGCGGGGTCGCGGTAATAGAGGACTAGAGCAGCAGCACCGGCACCGGCGCCATGTGCCAGCGGTTCTGTGTAGGCCAGTACGGAGCCATCGGTGCGTAGGCGCAGGGCATCATGGCGTGCGGTGTTGCGTGAATCCTGGGTACAGACAGAGCCATCTGGGAGTAATACGTAGAGTCGGCCGTCTGTCGTGAGCGCGGCTGCGAAGACAGCAGCAGTATCGAACTGGCGTAGCGCCGGCATCGGCAACGCGCGTAGCAAGACCAGTTGGGGGGATTCGGGCAGATCACGTAGAGCATAATGCACGAGGGAGGTCGGCGTCGCTACCCAGAACGTGCCGCTACTGCCGGCGCGGATCTCGCCGGCGCATGCAAGCTCAGGGAACTGTGTTGCAGCGAGCAGCCGCAGCGTCAGGCGTCCGGGGGCGGGTATCAGCAGGACTACCTTCACAGTATAACCGGGGTTGCTGCTTCTGATCCGACAGCTGAACACGAGGGTGATTTCGGGAGAGGATGGGCTCGTGTCCGTTGTCACGTAGTCAAGTTCCTTCACGTCTAGTATCTCATCAACGTCCGAGAAGATGTCATGAGTCTCGAGCCTGCATTGCTTCCGGCTTTCGAGCTTCATGCATTCAACGCTCTTTTTCTTGCATGTCACGATAAGCAGGCGATTTATGCTGGAAAGATAGATGAAGCGTTTCGCGCAGTGGGTGGAGCTGAGGACTATATTGGAGCCTGTGTAGGACTGGTAGCTATTTTCATATACCCCCAGCCCATCGCTGAATAATACAAGGACATGGTTGGCACTCGCACAGACCTGGATGATGGGGTTATTCTTTTTCCAACCAGGGAGCTTAATATCCTGTTTGCGTTCCATGTCATAGAGGAAAATCTCCGATGCGCTATAACACAGAATACCTCTGTCGCCAAAACTCTCGAGAGTATACCAACCTTTGATGAGATGGGTGTTTATTGATCTTGGTGCGTTCTCACATATGTGAACTGGCCTAGTAATCGTAGCATCGCTGCATAGCATAGTATGGCGGTCTACCATCAAGGCATCGAAAATAGTGGACGAATTCGCTTCTAGATGCAATCGAATTAGCCTTGGTTCGCTAGAATTATCCATGAATTTGTACACGAGGAACATGCAGTTAACTTTTACCGTCCACTCGGCAGAGTGTTCATCGAGCAGCACCTTTTCGATACTAAGCAGATTGTCGGACAGCAGCCCATCTATGTCTAAATTTGATAGTGCCTCGTGTGATTTAAGCGAGTTAGTTATATCAAAAGTTTCTATTGCATGTGATCTCCCTTTAAGCTCAACATTTTCGATGTATGAGATCTGCGTCCCCGCCCAAAATACAACAGTCGGTCCCAAATTCAGTGCCCCGTTTACAGCAAATGGCAAATCAAAAGTCCATTTGTCCTGTTCGTCAGTTACTGAATTCATCAGTACCTGGCGTTTCGTCACTTGTACCAAATAGTTACTGGTGGTAAAATAATATATGGTGGCGCCTGTCAAGTCACTAAGGATACCATCGACTTCATCACATTCCATGTCTTCTTCTGAAGAAGAATAAAGTACAAATGCCCTAGTTATCGAAATACCATCGGAAGCAACGACCAAATATCCAGTATGGTGTCTATCATCGCCGTAAAGTTTTGCATATACTTCTTCGGCAATGGAGTCAAGTCCTAAGACCCATATGTTACTAAAACGCTGGAATTCTCGCAGATAAAGTATGTTTTTCAAATGCGCTACATGGCCGCTAATGGATATATTAGACAGCACGGATGAGGAACAAGACCATAGCTCTTGCTGCTGAGTGCCAGATATCGCAGGCGTTTTATCACAGAAAGAGAGCAGTTGTTCAGCATATGCAAAGCTGGTATCCTTAGTATGCCTCCTAAGGATATTTGACATGGATTCCACATTGACTCTGTCGTCGAGGATTGCAATCCCCGAGAGATCTAGTGTTATCTCAAACACCTTTCCAAAACTTATAATCTGCAGTTTATAGGTTTTCTCAGAAAGCGGCTGGGAGGGCACTAGGGTAAAGCTTTTCAAACCCTTAAATCTAGTCAACCCATAAAATTTAACCGTGCCCCGATCATCTGCCAGTATCAGACCAAGCACGTAGTTTGTAGTGGAAAATATCACGGCACGTGTAAGTGGCAGGTATGTTTCAGGGTCTAATTGCTGCAGTCTGCCCAGTATTTGGGTATCATATTCGAAATGCGTTATAGTACCAAAAGATTTCTCAACAATTAGGGAAACTCCATGACTTTCGGATGTTAGGAGTTGGTGAACGGAAAATAGCTCTATCGTTTTCTTGTAAATAGCCAGACAGTAGTTATTATTCAACGGGATGATGTCCTCGAGCAGTTTACCATCGGGAACAACGAACTGATGGACCTCAGGAATACTGATACTGTCCCTAGGCCAGGAAACAAGGTAGTAGTAAACTCTTGATGACTTCAGCCCGCTAATGAATACGGTAGCTTCAGCTTTGGAAAAAAGGTACGAACAGGCCAAAACTTTGGTATTGAACATGTGCATGTTACGGACTAACTCGAAATAATATGGGCAATTATTCTGAAGCCTAAAGAATTTTATAGTACTAG